TGTCCGCAATAGCCAAACTGTGGAAAGAGCCGAGATGCCCTTCAACAGATGAATGGATAAAGAAGATGTGGTCCATATATACAACAGAATATTACTCAGCCATCAGAAAAAATGAATACCCAACTTTTACATCAACATGGATGGGACTGGAGGAGATTATGCTAAGTGAAATAAGTCAAGTAGAGAAAGTCAATTATCATATGGTTTCACTTATTTGTGGAACATAAGGAATAACATGGAGGACATTAAGAGAAGGAAGGGAAAAATGGGCGGGGGGAATTGGAGGGAGAGATGAACCATGAGAGACTATGGACCTAAGAAACAAACAGGGTTTTAGAGGGGAGGGGGGAGGGGGGATTGGTTAGCCCGGTGATGGGTATTAAGGAGGGCACGTACTGCATGGAGCACTGGGTGTTATACGAAAACAATGGATTGTGGATCACTACATCAAAAACTAATGATGTATTGTATGGTGACTAACATAACATAATAAAATTTAAAAAAAAAATCTGTGCTTCAGTTTGGATATTTTCCATTTTCTTGTCTACTATTTCAGTAATTCTGCATTCTGCTGTTAAGCCTATCTCAGTTCTTGACTTAAGAGATTAAATGTTTTAACTTTTGAATTTTTATTTGATTCTTTAATTCCTTATTCTCTAATGAAATTCTCCATCTTTTCATCTAACTCCAGTTCCCTGTAAGACTATTTCTATTGAGTAGTTTTTCATCTGATTTGGGGTATTTGGACCTATCTTTTGGTATGCATAGGAATTTGTGCGTACGTGTGTGAGAGAGAGAGAGAGAGAGAGAGAGAGAGAGAGAGAGAGAGAGACAGTATATGAAGCATTGTAGAGGATCTGGATGATGGTATCTTTCTCAACAGAGGATTCATCTCTCCCTTTACACCTTTATGCAGTCAGGCACAGTGTTTGATCAAGGCTGAGTTGAAGCCCTAAGACTTAATCAACCTCTGGTTCACCCTGGCCATCCAGGATTTTCTCCTGAGAGCCCAGTTTGTCCTCTGTGGACCCTCCTCCTGGTAGATGCCCAACTCTGTTTTCTTCCCAGACTACTGAAATTCTGCTTTTCTTTTTTTTTTTTTTAAGATTTTATTTATTTATTTGAGAGAGAGAATGAGATAGAGAGAGCATGAGAGTGGGGAGGGTCAGAGGGAGAAGCAGACTCCCCGCTGAGCAGGGAGCCCGATGTGGGACTCGATCCCAGGACTCCAGGATCATGACCTGAGCCAAAGGCAATCGCTTAACCAACTGAGCCACCCAGGCGCCCCTTGCTTTGCTTTTTCATACCCTATCTGGTTAAGTTTTTAGTCTTTTGCCCATATAGCCCTAGAATTTCGCAGATGTTCTGAGGGGAAAACTGGCTGTGTGTTTGAGTCCTGGTTTCTCTGTCATCCAGCTACAGCCTTCTACTGGTTCAAAGCTGGATTCTACCTTTGCCAACACTTAGAACTGATAAATACTTCCAGTGTAAAAGTAGCTACATACATCAGCTTAAATCTTCAATGTTCTCTCCAGAGTCTTAACCCTTAACAACTTTCCTGTACTTTGAAACAGATGATTTCAGTATTTCATATTGGCATTTATAGTTATTCTTGGAAGAAACACTGGACTGCCACAAGCTATTATATCCCATCTGGAAATGTCAGTGCCTCAAAAGAGTCCTTTTTGGGGCACCTGGGTGGCTCAGTCGTGAAGCGTCTGCCTTCAGCTCAGGTCATGATCCCAGGGTCCTGGGATCGAGCCCTGCATCAGGCTCCTTGCTCCGCGGGAACCCTGCTTCTCCCTCTCGCACTCCCCCTGCTTGTGTTCCCTCTCTCACTGTGTCTCTCTCTGTCAAATAAATAAAATATTTTTAAAAAAAGAGTCCTTTCTACACCATATATTTCATCCATTTAAAGTATATATTCAACATAATAAAATTAAAAAATAAATAAAGTGTACATTCATTGGGTTTTAGTGTATTCACAGAGTTGTGTAACCAGTATCAGTTTTAGAACATTTTCTTTAACCCTCTCCCTCCAAACTTAACACCTTTTTGCTGTCACCCCCTAATCCTTCCGTTCCTCCTAGCCCTAGGCAATTGGTAATCTTCTTTCTGTAACAATATAAGTTCTCCTGTTCTGAACATTTTATATTAATGGAATCATTCAATATCTGGCCTTCTGTGACTGACTTCTTTTACTTAGCATAATGTTTTCAAGATTCATCCACAGGGCGCCTGGGTGGCTCAGTTGGTTAAGCGACTGCCTTCGGCTCAGGTCATGATCCTGGAGTCCCGGGATTGAGTCCCACATCGGGCTCCCTGCTTAGCGGGGGGGGTCTGCTTCTCCCTCTGACCCTCTTCCCTCTTGTGCTCTCTGTCTCTCATTCTCTCTCTCAAATAAATAAATAAAATCTTTAAAAAAAAAAAAGATTCATCCACATTGTAGCATGTATCAGTACTTATTCCTTTTTATGGCTGAATAACGTATTGTATGGATATAGCACATTTTTTAAACCATTAGTTCACAGACATTTAGGTTGTTTCTATTTTTGAATAATGCTACTATAAACATTCATGTGCAATTTTTATGTGGACAAATGTTTTCATTTCTTTTGGGTATATACCTAGAAGTGGACCTCTTGGGTCATATTGGAACTCTATGTTTAACTTTTTGAGGAATTGCCACTGTTTCACAAAGTGGCTGTAACATTTTCACCATCACCACATGAGGATTCCAATTTTTCCACTTCGTCACTAATGTTTATTATTATCTTTTTTATTGAAGCCATCCTAGTGGGCATATTTCCCTGATGACAAATAATATTGGGCATCTGTTTTATTATAGTCATCTCAGTGAATTTTCAAGGGGTATTTTCTTTTCTTTTTAAAGATTTTATTTATTTATTTGAGAGAGAGCAAGAGAGAGCACGAGCAGGGTGAAGGGCAGAGAGAGAAGCAGACTCCCCTCTGAGCAGGGAGCCCGATGCAGGACTCGATCCTGGGACTCTGGGATCATGAGCCGAAGGCAGACGCCCAACTGACTGAGCCACCCAGGCGCCTGAAGGGGTATTTTCTATGTGACCTTATGACTAAAGATATTGAGGATCTTTTCATGTGCTTTTGGCCATTTGTTTATCTTTTTTTTTTTTTTTTGGCCATTTGTTTATCTTAGAAATGTATATTCAGATCCTTTACCCATTTTAATTGGATTATTATTTTTTATTCAGTTATAAGAGTTCTTTTTTTTTTTTTTTTTTTTAAGATCTTGTTTATTTATTTGACAGAGAGAGACACAGCGAGAGAGGAAACACAAGCAGGGGGGAGTGGGAGAGGGAGAAGCAGGCTTCCCACCAAGCAGGGAGCCCAGTGCGGGGCTCAATCCCAGGACCCCGGGATCATGACCTGAGCCGAAGGCAGACGCTTAACGACTGAGCCATCCATGCGCCCGAGTTATAAGAGTTCTTTATGTAGTCTAGATACAAGTCCCTTATTGGACATATAATTTGCAAAAATTTTATCCCAGTTTTGGGGTTGTCTCTTCACTTTTTTTTTTAAAGGTTTTATTTATTTATTTGTCAGAGAGAGAGCAAGAGCGCATAAGCAGGGGGGGCAGTGAGCAGAGGGAGAAGCTGGCTCCTCACTGAGCAAGGAGCCCAATGTGGGACTTGATCCCAGGACCCTGGGATCATGACCTGAGCTGAAGACAGACGCTTAACCAACTGAGCCACCCAGGCTTCCCATCTTTTCACTTTTTTGATGATATCCTTCTAAGCACAATAATTAAGTCCAGTTTATCTATTTTTTTTCTTTAGTTGCTTATGCTTTTGATTTTATGTCTAAGGAATCATTGCCAAATCCAGTGTCACAAAGATTTACCTTTTAATTAAATGTAAATTTGGCTAAATATAAGAACATTGGGCCTTTGATCCACTTTGAGCTAATTTTTTTTTTAAAGATTTTATTTATTTATTTGACAGAGAGATAGCGAGAGCAGGAACACAAGCAGGGGGAGCGGGAGAGCGAGAAGCAGGCTTCCTGCCGAGCAGGGAGCCTGATGCGGGGCTCGATCCCAGGACCCTGGGATCATGACCTGAGCTGAAGACAGACGCTTAACCAACTGAGCCACCCAGGCTTCCCATCTTTTCACTTTTTTGATGATATCCTTCTAAGCACAATTAATTAAGTCCAGTTTATCTATTTTTTTTCTTTAGTTGCTTGTGCTTTTGATTTTATGTCTAAGGAATCATTGCCAAATCCAGTGTCACAAAGATTTACCTTTTAGTTAAATGTAAATTTGGCTAAATATAAGAACATTGGGCCTTTGATCCACTTTGAGCTAATTTTTTTATATGGTGTGAAGTAGGGGTTCAACTTCATCCCTTTACCTGTGGATATCTACTTGTCCCAGCACTATTTGTTGAAAAACTTTTTTTTCCATTTTAAATTGTTTTGACACCTGTGTTGAATATTAATTGACTATAAATATGAGGGTTTATTTCTGGATTCTCCGTTACCTTCCTTTGACCTGTATGTCTCTCTTTATGCTAGTACCACACTGTTTTGGGGGGTAAAAAAGCCTTTTTTTAATCCTCTTTTTAAAAGAAAGAATGGACTTATTCAGTGGACTGGTAAGTGCAAAATGAATGGCAGAATATAGTTTATTTCTTACATGAAGTGTTAATGACATGGCGTAGAAAAGAATGCACAAATCGTATGTTTACAGTTTTATGAATTAATCAGCTTATTTCTTTGAAACTAGTACACCAATAAAAACAAGACCGAAACTACTCAGAATATCATCAGTAGCATAGAAAGAATGGCATGATATTTTTAAGAAGATTTATTTTTTCCTTCAAAATAATAATATAAGATATTGGTATTTAGTGAGAACCTTATATGTTGTAGCATATTAAAAATTATTAAAAGTAAGTTCCTGAATATCTTGTTCCCATTCTTCAATCCTCATCCTTCACATTGAATAAGAATGTGTTTTTCAGGGATCAGTGTCCTTCAAGGATGTAACAGTAGACTTCAGCAGGGAGGAGTGGCAACAATTGGACCTTGCCCAGAAAAGCCTGTACAGAGATGTAATGCTGGAAAACTATTTCAACTTGATCTCAGTGGGTAAGTACAGCTCCACTGGGGGTAAGGCTGTACCTGTTGGAGTATATTTTCATTCTCAATGGAATTTTTGAAATCTGTGGGATTTCTGAGGTATGTGGGAGTTCTAAAGACTGCAGGACATCTGAAGTGTATACTAGTTTTGTCCTTATTTTGTTCTATGTTATTAATTATCCCTTTGGGCTATAATGAATATACTTCTCTCTGCATGAACTTTTCTGGAAAGTAAATGGAATGCTTCATTGAATGGCCTCTGAAACCAAGTCTTCTATCATTTCCTGTTAATAGGGTGTCAAGTTCCCAAAGCAGAAGTCATCTTCAGTTTGGAGCAAGAAGAGCCATGTCTGCTGGATGGTGAAATCTCAAGCCACAGCTTTCTTGGTGAGTAGAGAACAAGGGCATGGGAGACAGCATGAGTGACCTGGAGTTGTACTGGCAGAGGCTGGCAGCTGTGAATGGCACTTCTGTAATACTCTGCACTTCTGGAACTGCATGGGTGGAGTTGGTATAGTCCCCTTGGACATCTGAAAGCCATCTCCACTTAAGGCCTCTTCCCGTATCAGAATCTTTGTCTTTGCTTGGGGCGCCTGGGTGGCTCAGGGGCACCTGGGTGGCTCAGTTGGTTAAGCGACTGCCTTCGGCTCAGTTCATGATCCTGGAGTCCCGGGATCGAGTCCCACATCGGGCTCCCTGCTCAGTGGGGAGTCTGCTTCTCCCTCTGACCCTCCCCCTTCTCATGTACACTCTCTCTTTCTCGCTCTCTCAAATAAATAAATAAATAAATCTTTAGAATCTTTGTCTTTGCTTGACTTTCTAGGTGGGAATATGCTATGATTACTGGTACTTTGGATCTAGGATCCTGCTTTATGGTTTTTCTCCCTTTCTCTAACATTTTTATTCTTTTTACCTCCATCACATCAAGGTCTTAAATCCTTTTCTTACACATTCAGAAACTCATTGATTTACCTTTTTAAAAAATTACTGTGGGACACATTCTTGAGGGTTTCTTTTCATTTTCTCTCTTTCCCCTTAGTGCTTCAGAATTGTCATTTAGAGATGGCCTTCCTTTATTATGTCCCATGCCTTTCCTCCAACCGTCAACTTTGAGGGTACCATCACTACATTTGGGGGACAGCTTTTTGCTGTATATGACAGAAGTAGTTATGTTTCCTGACATTTTCTTTTTACTTCGCTAGTGTAACACAACACTGACTTGATCTTTCTGACTAATTTACTTATTTTGACATTTTACAAAAAGTTTTTGTACTTTGTTTACAGGAAATTGAGTTAATTATATTCCTTAGTTGTTAATTAATATCATTATCAATATGTTTACCCTGCGCCCCGATTTTATTTTTTTAGATCTCTCTTTTAATTCTCACTCCTCATATTTATTTTTATCCTTAGAGTTAACTGCTCTAATGTAGTTGGTATGTTTGCTATCTGTCCTTGAATTTATAGGGTATTTGTAAAATTTAAATTGTTGGTATTTTTAATTTGTAGAAATGGCATGGTGCTATATGTCCTATTCAGGTTCTTATTTTTTTCTATTAGCACTAAATTGGTTCATGTTGCAATGTGGTTTTCTAGAAAAGTTCATTGCTCCGACTGATGCATAGCATTCCATACTGTGGATATATACCACATTTTACTTGTCCAGCTTCCCACTACTACAGTTAATACTTCAGTAAATTTCTTCATGAACTATTCTTTGGGAATGAGAATTTCTTTGGGAAGAGTAATGGGATCGCCTTATCATTAGGTTATAATATTCTGTTTGATGAAGTATGACCACATTATTTTCTACAATCCCAAGTGTACAAAGACATCAGTTTCTCTATAGCCCTGCCCCTATTTCTAATAATTTCTAATAATTTGGTCAATCCAATGGATTGTAATTTCTAATTACTACTTTAATTTGTGCTTCTCTAATAAAATATTTTGAACATCTCATCATGTATCTTGTAATAGATTCTGACTTCATTACTCTTCCCAGTTTTATTGAGAAATAACTGACATATATCACTATATAAATTTAAGGCATACAACATGATGGTTTGATATGTATATACTGTGAAATGATTACCACCATAGGTTCAGATAAAAGCCATCTTCTCATATGGATACGATAAAAAAAAAAAAAAAGAAAGGGAAAATTGTTTTTTCTTTGTGATGAGAACTCAGGATCTACTCTCTTAACAACTTTTCTATATACTGTATAGCAGTGTTAGCTCTAGTCACCATGCTGTGCTTCACATTCCAATACTTACAGCTGGAAGTTTGTATCTGTTGACCACCTTCTTCTGGTTCCTCTCCCTGACCCTCTGCCTCTGGTAACCACAAGTCTGATCTCTTCTATGAATTTGTTTTTTTTGTTTTTTTTTTTTAGATTCCACATGTAAGTGAGATTATGTAGTATTTGTCTTTCTCTGACTTATCTCACTTAGAATTATGCTTTCAAGGTCCCATCCATGTTGTTGCAAATGGTAGGATTTCCTCATTTTTTTATGGCTAAATAATATTCCATTGTATATATACACTACAACTTTATCCATTCATTCACTGATGGACACTTAGGTTGTTTGCATGTCTTGACTATTATAAATATTACTACAATGACTGGAGTTGCAGATATCTTTTCGAATTAGTGTTTTTGTTTGCTTTGGATATATTCCCAGAAGTGGAATTGCTGGATCATATGGTAGTTCTGTTTTTAATTTTGATGATCCTCTATACTGTTTTCCATAGTGGCTACTCCAGTTTACAATCCCACCAAAGGTACACGAGGATTCCCTTTTCTCCACATCCATGCCAGCATTTGCTATCTCTTGTCTTTTTGATGATGAAAATTTCTAACAGGCATGAGGTGATGTCTCTTTGTGGTTTTGATTCACATTCCTCTGATGATGATTGAGCATCTTTTCATACACCAGTCAGCCTTTCATGTATCTACTTTGGAGAATATCCATTCAGGTCCTTTGCCCATTTATTTTCTGATTTAGATAATATTTATTTTTTTTAAGTTTGTATTTAAATTCCAATAGTTAACACATAGTGTCTTAGTAGTTTCAATATATTGATTCAACATTTACATACAATACCTGGTGCTCACCACAGGAGCACTCCTTAATCACCAGCACCTATTTCCCTGTCCCCTCACCCGCCTCCCTTCTGGTAACCATCAGTGTGTTCTCTACAGTTTTTTGTTTTGTTTTGTTTTTTTAAGATTTTATTTATTTGAGAAGGGGGGGCATGCATGAGAGAGCATGAGCAGGGGGGAGGGGGAGGGGTGGAGGGAGACACAGACTCCCCGCTGAGCAGGGAGCCCGATGCAGGACTCAATCCCAGGACCCTGGGATCACAACCCAAGCTGAAGGCAGATGCTTAAACAACTGAGCCACCCAGGCACCCAGTGTGTTCTCTCTGTTTCTTGGTTTGCCTCTCTCTCTTTTTTTTCCCCCTTGGCTCATTTGTTTTTTAAATTCCACATATGAGTGAAATCATATGGTATTTGTCTTTCTCTGACTGATTTATACTATCTCCATACAGGTCGTTGCAAATGCTTTTGCCCATCCCCCCCCCCAGTTTTTATTTAAATGCCAATTAGCTAATATACAATGTAACATTAATTTCAGGTGTACAGTGTATTGGTTCAGCACTTCCATACAAGTGCTCATCACAAGTGCCCTCCTTAATCCCCATCACACATCCGACCCATCCCCTCACTCACCTCCCATCCAGTAACCATCAGTATGTTCTTTATAGTTAAGAGTTTGTTTCTTGGTTTGCCTCTCTTTTTTTCTCTCCTATGTTCATTTGTTTTATTTCTTAAATTCCACATACAAATGGAATCATATGGTATTTGTCTTTCTCTGACTGACTTATTTCACTTAGCATAATACTCTCTAGCTCCATCCATGTCATTGCAAATGGTAAGATTTCATTCTTTTTATGGCTGAGTAATACTCCATTATATACACCCCATATCTTCTTTTCTTCTTTATCCATTCATCAGTCGATGGACATTTGGGCTTTTTCCATACTTTGGCTGTTGATCATTTTTGTGTCCTTTGGGTAAATACCTAGTAGTGTAATTGCTGGATCATAGGGTAGTTCTATTTTCACAATTTTGAGGAACCTCCATACTGTTTTCCACAATGGCTACACCACTTTGCATTCCCACCAACAATGTAACAGGGTTACCTTTTCTCCACATCCTCGCCAACACCTGTTCTTCCTTGTGTTGTTGATTTTAGCTATTCTGACTGGTGTGAGGTATGGTATCTCATTGTAGGTTTGATTTGTATTTCCCTGATAATGAGTGATGTTGAGCATATTTTCATGTGTCTATTAGCCATCTATAATTCTTCTTTGGAAAAATGTCTATTCATGTCTTCTGCCCATTTTTTTCCCCACTGGATTATTTGGTTTTTGGGTGTTAAGTTTTATAAGTTCTTTATAAATTTTGGATACTAACCCTTTATCAGTTACGTCAATTGTAAATATCTTCTCCCATTCCATAGGTTCCCTTTTAGTTTTGTTGATTGTTTCCTACACTGTGCAGAAGCTTTTTATTTTGATTAAGTCCCAATAGTTTATTTTGCTTTTGTTTCCCTTGCCTCAAGAAACATATCTAGTAAGAAATTGTTATGGCCTGTTTCAAAGAGGTAGGATTTTTATGGTTTCCTGTCTCACATTTAGCTCTTTAATCCATTTTGAATTTATTTTTATGTATGGTGTAAATAAGTGGTCCAGTTTCATTCTTTTGCATGTTGCTGTCCAGTTTACCCAACCCCATTTGTTGAAGAGACTTTTTTCCATTGGATATTCTTTTCTGCTTTGTCAAAGATTAATTAACCGGGGGCGCCTGGGTGGCTCAGTTGGTTAAGCGACTGCCTTCGGCTCAGGTCATGATCCTGGAGTCCCGGGATAGAGTCCCGCATCGGACTCCCTGCTCGGCAGGGGGTCTGCTTCTCCCTTTGACCCTCCTCCCTCTCATGCTCTCTGTCTCTTATTCTCTCTCTCTCAAATAAATAAATAAAATCTTAAAAAAAAAAAAGATTAATTAACCATATATTTGTGGGTTCATTCCTGGGTTTTCTTTTCTATTCCATTGATCTGTGTGTCTGTTTCTGTGCCAGTACAATACTGTCTTGATCACTACAGCTTTGTAATATTACTTGAAGTCCAGAATTGTGATGACTTTAGCTTTGCTTTGCTTTTTCAAGATTGCTTTGGCTATACAGGGTCTTCTGTAGTTTCATACAAATTTTAGGATTGTTCTAGCTCCGTGAAAAATGCTGTTGGTATTTTGATAGGGATTGCATTAAATGTGTAGATTGCTTTGTGTAGTATAGACATCTTTTTTTTTTTTAAAGATT